AGAAGATCAACACCACTAATTGATGCATCTTGTGTATAAGTTTCTACACGAGTTGTTTCACAAACAATATCGACAGCAAGATAATTCTTTGGAATTTCTGATTGCCATGTATTTGACCAATTTTTAGGTAATATAATGCCAGATTTTTCAACGAATTTTTTAATAACAGGTACATACGTAGTGGATGGAGCTGATACTGCAGATGTTGTAATAGTAAAATCCACAGTTGAACATGCTTGTGAACAATCTGAACAAAATTGATTCCAAATTGAATCTGTTGTTGTAATACGAGCTGTTGCAGTCATATAACATTGATCGGTTACGTTGCAAAGAGATGCTTCACGAATTTGATCTGTACCCGATAAAACAATAGATTGAGCGATCCACTCAAATGGGCTTACACATTTACATTCGTCATATCTATTTTAATAAAATATATATTTCTCTTTGGACTAATCACTAATTATACTTACACATATGTTTGTATGCATAGCGTATAACATAAAACTTGAGAATAAGCATAATCAGCACCTGCATATCGATTAAACATTGCTTGCATAACAAGAGGAATTTTATTTGTACAATCAGAATATGGAGATGGTAATAATTGATATATTTTCTTTTTGTAGCTTAATTTATATTCTCGTCCAGGTTCAAGTTGAATACCAGCTACTTCAATAAGTGGTAATTCTGTGTTATCATGAATCATAGCCATCATACCAACTGACACATCTGTAAAAGAAATAACAAAAAAAAGCTTGTTAACGCAGCTCCTTCAGAGCTAAAATGTGGAACTCACGTATATCCTTCAACCTTGCTATCCTAATACATCATCTGCAAACTGAAAAATTTCTCGTCGACTGTAGTTCTTGTCACTAATAATCGATGACAAGAGCGAGAATTTATTATTTCTACATTTATTTCTAAATTTAAAACAGAAATTTTTTATTTTTTCTACGGGCGTTCTATTTTTTGTTTGGATTGTTGCTATTCGCTCATTATTTTTCACTTTTTTTTTAATTCGTGTTTTTTTAATTGCATATTCTTATTATTATAATCGTTGAATCAGCAATTAAGTTTATTTTACATATCCATGATATGTATGGTAGATTTTACGTACTATTATACAGTGGTGGCTAAAATTATAGGAACAGACCGTTTTTTGGTGTTTTTTTAGTTTTTTCATATATTTTTCTTCGAGCGATGACGACTTGTATGCCTAAACAAATGTATTTCAGTGTGATCTTTCCGATGGTGTAGTCAGATTCGGTCGTTTCCGACTTCAAGTTTCAGAAAATAAATATTTATTGAAAATCACGTTTTTAAAAATCAATGGGAAAAAACGTTGGTCACGCTCAGTGTTTTGCCTCCTACAATAAAAAATATAGATGAGTGCACTTTTTACAGACCTACATCAGATAGAGGACAATTTTTGCTATAAAATAAAGTATTCCCCAGTTCTGACGAACATTTTATTGAAAAAGTGATAACATTTTAAAAGCAAAGAGCATTTTTTATGTCAAGTTTGGCTTAAAAATCGCGATTTTTTTTTCTTTTAAACGTAAAAACATTATCACTTTTTCAACAAAATGTTCGTCAGAACTGAGGAATACTTTATTTTATAGCAAAAATTGTCCTCTATCTGATGTAGGTCTGTAAAAAGTGTGCTCATCTATACTTTTGTTGTAGGAGACAAAACACTGAACCTGACCAACGTTTTTTCCCATTGATTTTAAAAAACGTGATTTTCAATAAATTTCCATTTTCCGAAACTTGAAGTCGGAAACGACCAAATCTGACTACACCATCGGAAAGCTCACACTGAAATGCATATGTTTAAGCATACAAGTCGTCATCGCTCGAAAAAAAAAATATATGAAAAAACTGAAAAAACACCAAAAAACAGTCTGTTCTTATAATTTTGGCCACCACTGTATATATTAATCAACTCACAAACAATGATGTTCACTAATCTTCAAAATTATAACTTTACCAAATTTTCAAAAAAAACTCTAGAAAATCTGACATCTGTTATTCTCCATTGATAAAGTCTGTAATGGTGGATTATCTGTCATGGAAGGGGGGTATCTGTAATGGGGGGGCCTCATTGCTATGGTCTGTAAGGAGAGAGGGGAGGTGGGGAACCGCCAAACCTCGAACTTAAAACTTACATGCACTATTTTCTTCGAAAATATACGTGAGTTCCACAAAAATAGATTTCGTAAAATTATATTTTTCATTTTACCTTTTACAACATATGGAATATATTGATGACTGTGTGCATACAGTTGTAACTCAAGTTTACCAGGACCTCCATTATCAGTAGTATTTCGTACACTACTTTGATTTAACTTCATTTTAGCATTGAATGTATAGCAACGACCAAAAGACGATGAATAAAATGGAATAAAATCATTAGTTTGACAACGTTGACCATTGTATAAGCAAGAGATTAACATTGAACTTATAGGAAAAAAATAACTATCAACGGGCTCACCATGCCTTAATAAATTTTGAATAAAATCACGAATGTATCTGCTTTGTTCTTCAGAAATAGTGCTTGTGTCATTTGTATAAGTCAAATTTCGAGATTTGGTAAAATTTAGAAATGGTTCAATAAAATTATCAAAACGCATCGGTGAATAATTACAAATACTGACTGCTGGAAATGCTTGTGAACGTTCGACAATAAATGATACTGATGTTTGTGTTGGATAACTGAAATAAGCTTTCATTAATTCAACAATAAAAAAGAGCATAATACCAGTAAAAATGAGTGTTGAAACTATCCAAAAAATTCGATTATGTATATTTTGACTACGTGCAATACCTGGAATACCATGAGTTGAAGTATTAAGACTAAACTCACGAATAATAGAACGACGTCGTCGAAATTTCGGATCTGGCTCCAACGCTTTAGCATCTATTGGAAAAACAGTAGCTATATGTTTAATAGTTGTATCTGTCATTGTTTAAATGATAATGTAGTTCATTGTAGTTACTTGACTCTTTCTATATAGAACGATTGTTGTTTTAAGAACAATAAAAATATGTGCATATATGATTCAAATGAAACAAAATATTTACTCCCGTCTTGTTAGTTTTGAATAAATCAAACTTCTCCATACAGCATATTATTAAAAATCCATTACTCTTATATAAATCGAAAGACATCATATAATATATTTTTCTTGATTAATATGCGTCTAATGGATCGAATGTTTACACTTGTTTTTTCAGGATGTTATCAGGAACTATACATATATTAACTTGTCCTTTTCTCATGAGATCATCATATGAAAGAATGATTAATGACTAACGTTCATGTATTTTAATTTTGCAGATTAATGACAATTTTAGTAATATTTATTCAACTGTTCAAATAAATTTATATCTCATATTGGTACATTATTCTTTCGAATGATTTTAATTTCAATTCTGTGTTCAGTATAAATAAATAGAAATTCATTGACATCGACTTCTGAGTTCAAACAATATTTGAAGAAAGGAAATATATCTGAATACATTTTTATACATACACGAAAAATATTGTTTAACTTACAATTAAGTCATTTTATGTTTATGTTTTGATTGAGAGATATTGGACCGAGAATACAAAATATTTCGACAGTGTAAAATATTTTATTGAAATGTAATTTTAATTGGATTCTAATAATCGTTTATCTTTAGTCAACATTTGAAGTTAGTGTGATTCTCTTTGAAATTATTACTTTCTTATTTCATATTTTATCTTTATTCAAATAAATACTTATTTTTCAATTATAATATATTCGGATCTTTGTTCAATGCTTGTAATCATATCAACTAGTAGATTTATTTCTTCTTAGAATTCATTTAGAACAAAAAAAAGTGTTCAATATGTCCTTTGCAATTGATAACTTGTTCATTTGTAGAAGAGCTTCAAGTAATTATAATAAAAGATGAACTACGTAGTGTTTAACATAACCTTTTTAAAAGCCTACATGATTTTCTTTTTAGTTAATCACCCGATACAAATCATTTGGTGACAATTGCAGTACACTTCCACAGAATAGAAGTCCAGTCTCGAGTTTATAATCTTCCGAATGTAATAAAAGCTCACCCTATCCAAGCGAGCACAAAATAGTAATGTAAATCATCCAATAGATTAGTTCATCGCGTTTCGCAGTCTGTAACTTTTTTGGTGTACCTAATTTCACTGGTTCTACATGTGTGGGTAGACATATGGACATGTCTTTAACTGAAAAAAAGAGACATCTCACAAAGCTGAAAGATGGTCGATTGAAGTTACATGAGAGATTTTCGACCTCAAAAACAAGTGCGATTATTATATAAGTATAGTGTCTGTTATTGAAGCATTCATAAAATCTGAACAACCTATTTCATAAAAATGAGAAGCCCTCATTTGGTAGTATAAGATTTACTTTAAACTTCTTTCAAGATAATTGAAATATATTTCCGTGCGTTTCTGAACTATATATAAACTTCTAAGATGATATTACGTAGCAGAACCATATCGATACATGTCTCATAGAAATTTTTTCGCAACTCCTCCAAAGTTTGATAGGTTTCTACAAGCAAAGTATCGTAATAAGTGCAATTTATTGTATTTGTATATTAAGATCCACGAAGTGCGGATGACAGTTGTGAATGTGTGAATGAGAGAAATAGTGTAATGAACGTATCATTCAGGTTACCTGATAACAAGGAACTGGAAAAGTATAGAAGTAAATTTTCAATTCGTGCTTGTAAGCAAATACAGTCATAACTACAATACAAAAAAAGTAGACCGAAATAGAAGCCCAGTAGGCTACTATTCTTGGGGGGTCTGATATAAGTCTACTCATTTTTTTTTTCTACTTGATGAATATTATTGAATCGAATGATCAAAAGAAATGTCTCTCGATGATTATGTTGGTACCATGTAGATCATATGGATTAAAAGTATATTCAAGTTAATATCGCTTGCGAATAGTAAATCTTTTTCTTGATATAAATATTTAAAAAAAAGTCTGTTCCGGATTTCGTCTTCGTATTTTTCCTTTTAGAATATAATAATCATATCGAATAAGTCGATAAAGCATTTCAACAAGTTCCATTATTGATAAAAAACTAATACCAATCCATAAACCGGTATGACCACCAACATTTGAAAGAAGATCAACACCACTAATTGATGCATCTTGTGTATAAGTTTCTACACGAGTTGTTTCACAAACAATATCGACAGCAAGATAATTCTTTGGAATTTCTGATTGCCATGTATTTGACCAATTTTTAGGTAATCTAATGTTAGATTCTTCAACGAATTTTTTAATATCAAAAATATAAGTAGCGGATGGAGCTGATACTGCAGATGTTGTAATAATAAAATCCACAGTTGAACATGCTTGTGAACAATCTGAACAAAATTGATTCCAAATTGAAATCGTATTTGTAATACGAGTTCTTGCATTTGTATAGCATTGATCGGTTGTGTTGCAAAGAGGTGCTTTAATAATTTGATCGGTACCGAGTATCATAATAGATCGAGCAGTCCACTGACGTGGATCTGTACATCCACATTGATCATATCTATTTTGAAAAATATTCATTTCTATATTGATTAGTTTACTACATCGTAAAAGCGTAAAATAATAAACATTTAAAGCGTTTATGAAAGTGCTACGTATAATAAACCGTGGTTTTTTGTATTGTATGTGAAACTTTTATATGTCCTTTGCAAGAGTTTATAAGAAGTTCATATACATAAAAAAAGGTTGAAGAAAATGTTTAAAAGCAAATTGATATATTCAAGGAGGCTTTTTAAGACATGTGAAAAGACTCGGAGAAGCGTTTATTATAAGTCATTTATCTGATTACGTGTAGTTCAACTATATGAATATTAATGATTACTCTTTTAGAGTGAATAAACAATATAGGAACACTGTTTTTTCGCAATGAAAATAGAAAATAACAGTTTGTCAGCACAACCTCTTTGAGGCTAAAACGTGGAATTCACATTTGTTATTTAGCCTTATTGTTTTAATACAAAATACGTAAAGTGAAAAATCTCTAACAGACTAGTTGTTTGACAAGGATAACCCATAGCCAGAAAAAGGATGGGGTTTTTTGATTTCTACATTTCGAACAGAATTTTTTATTCTTTTCTTTTTCTAGTGCTCTATTTTTTATTTGCTTTACACACATCTATCATATCCACAACAGGTCTCAACGTGTCATTATAAATCTCGATAATAGTGGCATTACCAGAGTACGGATAGATTAGGTGGTGCCTAATCACTCACTAGCCTATAAAAAAGAAACTTTATTGGAAGAAAGTACAAGCAAAGTCAACGTCACTTATTCGCTTTCCTAGTCTCGACTTGATCGATCAGTCAATAGAACATCTTATAATTTAATTCTACAAAAAGATGAGGTTTGTTGTACTAGCAGTAACACATAGACTATCGTTTTACTTGTACATTATTCCCTTAGTCATGCATGTTATAGCTGATTGAAGGATCCAAAATATCGGCATAAACTTGTAAAAGATTTATGAAAAATTATGTAGACGGTAAAATTTTATTGGTCTGTTCTCTTATTTTACTACAGCGTATACTTACACGTATGTTTGTATGCATAGCATATAACATAAAACTTGAGAATAAGCATAATCAGCATCTGCATATTGATTGAACATTGTTTGTATAACGAGAGAAATTTTATTTGTACAATCAGAATATGGAGATGATAATAATTCATGTATTTTCTTTTTGTAACTTAACTTATGTCTTCGTCCAGGTTCAAGTTGAATACCAGCTACTTCAATAAGTGGTAATTCTGTATTATCATGAATCATAGCTATCATGCCAACTGATACATCTAGAAAAGAAACAACAAAAAAAGAATTTTCGTAAAATCATATTTTACACTTTACCTCGTGCAATATATGGAATATATTGATGACTGTGTGCATACAGTTGTAATTCAAATCTACCAATACCTCCAAAATCAGTAGTACTTCGTACACTACTTTGATTTAACTTCATTTTAGCATTGAATGTATAGCAACGACCAAAAGAAGATGGAAAAAATGGAATAAAATCATTAGCTTGACAACGTTGACCATTGTATAAGCAAGAGATTAACGTTGAATTCAAAGGAAAAAAATAACTAGTTACAGGCTCAGAATCATTTAGTAAATTTTGAACAAATTCAGTAATATAAGGAACTAGTTCGATAGAAATGGTGCTTGTATCATTTGTATAAGTCAAATTTAGAAATTTGGTAAAATTTAGAAATGGTTCAATAAAATTATCAAAACTAATTGGTGAAAAATTGCATATACTAACTGCTGGAAATGCTTGTGAACGTTCGACAATAAATGATACTGATGTTTGTGTTGGATAATTGAAATAAGCTTTCATTGATTCAACAATAAAAAAGAGCATAATACCAGTAAAAATGAGTGTTGAAACTATCCAAAAAATTCGATTATGTATATTTTGACTACGTGCAATACCTGGAATACCATGAGTTGAAGTATTAAGACTAAACTCACGAATAATAGAACGACGTCGTCGAAATTTCGGATCTGGCTCCAACGCTTTAGCATCTATTGGAAAAACGGTTGCCAATTGTTTAATCGTTGTCTCTGTCATTATTACACTGAGTCAAATAATTGTAATGTTATTCTATGACCAAAAAGCACTTTTAAGAGTAACTTTCAAGTTACCTAATTTGCATTTTTTTTACATGTTCTTTTTCAAGCGATTGAGATGTGATTGCACTCATAGTATATTATTTTTTATGTTAAAAATATTAGTGCAAAGGATCTTAGCAAAATAGAATAAGAAAAATAACTCATAACTGCGTTAAAATATACTACTTCATTATTAATGGTCCATTGAGTCTTTCGACGATGAATAAATTGTAGGTGTTTGAATTGCAATAATTTTTATGGCTATCGAAAATCATAAAGTATTAACAGTAGAGCTCGATTACTTCAAAGAAAAGAAACTAGAACTGATTTTTTTCTCATTTTTAGTAATCGAAACCGGACTCGGAGTATTTTTTGGGAACGCCAAACTCTAATTAATGGATACAATTGTTTGACATCATGTAAATGAATAACTTTCTTCTGTTTATCAATATAAATGACTTTACTTTTCATTTCTTTTTAAGAAATGAATCTAATTAATTAGATATACTATCAATAAACATCATCAAAAACAAAAGAGCTTTCAAGACAATAATTAGATAATAAAAGAAATAGTCCATAAATTGAAACAGATAATATAAGTACTAACGAGTAGTACGAACTGATTCGTTATTGTTTTTAGTGTTTGTTCGTGTATAGGAATGCAGCGACGACGATCATTCACCGGCTCAAACCGATAACCGTACGTACAGTTATATTTTTTTCACAAAGGAAAGCATTTTTTCTAATAAAGGTTATCGAAAGTAAATCAAGGTCGTGAAATAATCAGTTTCTCAAAATTATATACTAAATTTTTTCACATCGGGAAAAGCTGTTGTAGGATAGTAGACCATGAAAGCAAGTATACAATTTCGAGGAATCGATTATAGATACACATTCCCCAACTTCGCTTTATTTTCGTCCACCTTTATAAAAAAAATCCTTTCCTTTATGAAAAACGGTAATCGTATCTACGGTTATCGTCACTATTGCGTCTCTATTCGTGTATGTGTACTTGTGAAATGATAAAACAGATATCAATGTGTTCAACAGAAGAATCTAGAGAATATTAATATGATTAAATAAATACTGATTATCACTTGAATTAAACCTTGATATAAGATAGTGGAGAAAAGTTTAAAAACACAACGTATATCTTATCATGTTATATATGCAGATTTTTATTTTATCAAATATAATCAATAATGATTCTAGTATTTCATTTGAATTATTAGTAAATATATTTTATATGATTGATTTTTAGTTTTGTTTTTCTAAATTTTGAAATGAGTTATTCACTGCTATTCTTTTTTAAGTATCTTCAGAAAACATAAGTATAATTATAAATATGCATGAGCTAAAAGTATCTCTTCTTCAATGTTCTCAATTATCACACATTTCATCATCCTATATCAAATTAACTAATAATGTGCGTCAGAACTCTACTTCTTATTTTTAGAATCATTATTTAAAGTCAACTTGATGAAAGACAAGCTGTTTGAATGTCATCATGAATAAATATTTTAATGATACATTAAAATGCAACAATGTATTACATATACGAATCCATCAGATCATATATGAATGTGATGAATATATTCTTTAAAATTTCTTGATGGAACTCATTTTTTATATAAATAAATATTATAATGAATAATAAACATTTTCTACATTAAATTTAATACCATTATTATATGTTACCAATACCAAATAGGAATAATCTGATGATATATAACGAATACATGCAATAATAGAAAATTATTTATATAAAAAGATCTTAATGATTCTATTGTCTACTAATGCTCAATATTTTCAATTTAAAAACTATTTGAAGTTAATTAAACATTTTTCTTGCAAAAAGGTCAAACAAATACTCATCATATCCTATAAAAAACTTAATCTGCTGTTCAATTCACTCAATTAAATAAAATAAAAATGTTGCCAATTGTTACAGAAAATTAATATATATCTTATTATCTTCAATGACATACTAACTAATACAATATTTAGAAATTTTTAATTTAAAAAAGTGATGATAAATATAAATTTAGCTATCAGATAAAACTCGTATAAGAAAATCAAACTTTTCTACAACGTTTATACTGAATATTCTTATGTAATAAATCTCTAATAGATATACAATTTCAATATAAGTATTTTAATAATAATCATTTTTATTAATATAGTTTATACATCAAAAGTTTTTTGACTGATTAAAAACAAATTGAAATTGTAAAAATTTTTAATCTATAAATTTTATGTGACGAACTTTAAAAAAAGAAAATGATAAATTATTTTATGAATCTTTTTCTTTTTCTTTTTTTTTTTTTGAAATATTATTGTTTTGTCACAATACAACAAAAAAGGCATATCGGAAATTATCCGAATAATGTTATTTATATTTTATAGTTAAATTCTTCATATATGAGTGTTAAATTATTACAGAAATATTAATAAAACTAAATAGCAATTATTCGAATAAAGAATATATTTTTAGTCTTGTATTTGTTTGTTTATTAACTATGAATACCGTTGTAAGGTAAACAGTACTTTTGATAGATACCCGTTCCAGATATTCGAGCAAAATAACAAATACGTGGCATAATCACATTACGTTGTTGAATGTTCAATGAAAATTCTTTTAATAGATTTGACTGTGATGGAATTGATGATCCAAAATATTTATGAAGAAAAGATAAATCTTTATTATTATTATTATTATTATTGCTCGTGGAAGGTACACTGGTCAATCCATTAGTAATCGATGTTAATGAGGAACAGACACATAAGAATAATAAGATATGAATGAAAAAACCAGAAGTCATCGATAGAAGAAATATAAAATATAAAAAATTAAAAAACACATATAAGAGGTGAAAAAACCAGTTGTAAAAAATTCATTAATATTTGCTAAAATTACAGATGTTATGGAAATATATTTACTAAAGTTCATAAAAATCATGTCACTTTCACCTATGTTCTATACTCAATTTCTCACGTATGAATTAAATCTCAACATGTGTAGGAAAAGAAAATAGACGAGATCATTAAGGATAATATGTGTATTTTTAATTAGACAGATGATGAATAAAAGGTAGAACAAACATTAATAAGTCTAAATATGATTTTCAAAACATGAATTTTACTTTCTTGATTACTTACTGTGCATTATTAAATATGTTAGAAAAATACCTACATGAAAATAAAATATCTCTTTGTTACATTTACACTACGTTTGTATCACAATGAGTATCATACATTGAACAGTACCAGTAGTGTCACATATTCAAGAAGTCAAGAATATCGAGTGAAATGATGAATATAAACATATATCTTTTAATAGGTACTTTTGTATATATCTGGTTTTTTTTGAAAATGAGAAAAAGAAGGTCGATATTATAGGATAGAAAATATTCTTGAAATATAAACTTGTAAATTTCTTCTTATAGAGTCAATAGTCCTAATTCTCTAATAAACTATCGATAATCTGAATGCTAGACTTTATAAAGAACTAAATTTTAGTTTTCAAAATTTCGATTTTCATAAAATTTAGCTCTACACAAAGTCAAGCACTCGAGTTATCAATGGTCTATCACAGAATTATGGCTATTGACTCTATCCGAACGTTATGTCGAATAGATAATTCATATGTATTATATATAAATCATAAGAAATACTAAAAGAATCTAATAAAAAATTTATCTATAAAGCATTTGAACAAGAATGAGTGACTATACCTTTCTCTAAAAATTATTAATAAATATGACATGTGTTATCTTATGCAACCATTCGCCAACACAACTTACTTATCTGATGTGACTAAGACTATCTAATTTTAAATGCCATAGTTTCTTTACATACTCACTCTCATAAATGAAAATACCCTAATTTGAATGTGTGATTATTGAAAAATTATATCTGATGTTAAGCAGATATTCGTCAACAATAGATTAATTGTCATTACAAGGTGATTATTTAAAATAAATACATAAAGAATATGAGAAATTAACATAATTAAAGATGGAAAAAAGAATGTTCTTTGTGCTACATAAATTTTCTCGTAGAATCCTTTGCTTAGAATAAAATTGCTCATCAACACAAAAAAAAAAAGAACGACTATTAATATTAATCTTATCAAGTTGTCATTGTTGAGATACTCACTTTATCGATATTTAAACTGACTTTTCTTTTAGTATTATCTTTTTTATATTTGATCATTGAAATCACGAATGATGATGAAAACTTATTTATTTTTTGTTAATAATCATTATCGATTAACCTCATATGTTTTTCTTTACTCATAAACTAAAATATATCAAAACAATCACAATAATCTTAAACAATTTTTGAGCGTGTACATTTTATTATAATCTATGCTTACATTAGACAATAAACTTTTACCAATGCTTTATTGAATATTAAACGAGATATATACACAATATACTTGAGTTCTGATTAAATTTAATCGTAAAACTTCACTTTTATTCATTGAAGATGTCCACATCATTTTAACCTAATATTATAATGAAAACACTTAGTTGAAGAAAAGTTCATTCAGTACAAATTTGCGTACTGCATTTTGTTGAGTTAAATTTTAGTTGAAAAGAATATATACGAAGCGATTCAATTACAAATACATTTGGTAATATAATGCAAAATAGGGCTCCGCGTGAGATAAGATGGGACAAAAAAAAAATCGTCTCATGTCCGATGGAATTGTCCCATATCATGCGAAGCTCTGGTATAACAAATTGATGAAGAGAAAAAGACCAAGAACTTTGTATTTAATATCTACTGTAAAAATATTCATCTAATTCAAATGACTCGTTGGAGAGTTAAAATAAGCATTTTTTAGAATGTCACACGAGGAAATAAATATAATGATTTGTTCTTTTTTTTTTTGGCTAATAGAAAGTCTTCTTATTTTATGAATTTAATATGATTCCCACAAAAGATTAATCAATCAGATTCAAATCCAAAATTGCGATCGATCGGGTCCGAGTCCAAAAATTCTTGGATCCGATAGGCTCTACTGTAAAGTTATGTACGAACATTGGTCGAAGGAATCAATAAGCAATGAAATCCAAATTAATTATAGATTTTAATAGAAAGTCGAACACTCTACAAACTGGACTATTTTTTTTATAGTCAAAATGTGAGATAGAAAGCTGAAATTTCACGTGAGGGTGTGAGACAATTACGCAGAAATGACATCTCAAGATATTATTCAAATCTTTTGATAGCAGCAAAAATGTTTGATCAGATAAAGCTAAGATCTTAATATTTTGATAGAGATAAACGACGTAAACTTAATAAAAATAGGAAACGCGTGGGAAAGTGCTTAATCTTTTTTCCGTCATAGTAATTCCAGAAGAATCACTGATGAAACAACTATTGAAATAGAATATTGATATCTTCGATATATTGAGAGTATGAATAGATCGATCAGACGCACTGTCGTTTTTTCACTCTAGTGATTACTGTGAGGAGAACGACTTAATAAAAATTCTATTTAAGATCTTTCGTAAATCTGATATAGTTCAACGAAAACAATGCCGTAGAGAGCTTCTCATTTTATAAAGAATGATTTGCTCTATCATTTCGTATTTTACTAGTTCTTTTATGAAACTTTCGAATGATAGTACTAGACATTGTCATTGTTATATATAATATATTTTATTTGTCGATAGGAAAATTGATTTTGTCACTCATCTTTTTCAAAGATGAACCTATACAAAACAAAATATTTTTATCAATTGATAGTTTATGGAGTTCACTCTAGAAAATATGTTCTCAAAGTTTTGAAATTCTATATTTTCTTTATTTTTTTATAATCATTCTACAAATAATCGCTCCAGTGACCAAAGAAGGGTAATGGGTTAAATTGTTCAATACAAAAACTTATTCTTTATCGTCTATGAATGAATTATATCATATATTTCAAAAATATTAAAAAACTGACAATAAGATATCCATAATTGAAATCATTTTCCTATATAAATCTTCGAGAAGAAATACAATTAGCTGAAAATTCATAGTAATGAAGAACATTGTTCTAATAAGTAAAATACTACGAGAAAAACAAATTATAATCAAAATTTTTCTGATTACATAATACTTATGCAAAACAAATGCTTTTTGTCATCTGATATTATATTTATTTGGCTATTTCATATATGTATTTTCTTTTAATATCTAAAAACTTAACCAAGTAGATCTATTCAATTAAATTAGAGATTTCCGAAATATATCTTTAAAGTTTTCTATATCATGTACATTCGATTACGTTTGTAATAAGTTATTATTTCTGTTAATCATTATACCCTTCTTTCTTTTTGTAGTTACATATGGTTTGCTGATGTTCACTCCAACATGCTTTCATGATATATAGTTGCAATTTTAATACTTCTAAAAAGTCATCTACAACAAGGATTGACATTTGTCTCTATCATAATCAAAAGTGTATGTTGTACTTTTGTTATACTCTTATGGTAAACTAAAATTTTCAATAATTAATTAATCTTATAGTATATACAAGAAAATATAGAAATATTTTGACTTACTATTTTACTAAGCCGTTCATCATAGGACACAAATATTTTTTAAAAAATTTGAACTTGTAGAGTTTTATCATCATTATCTTAACATATGATGGATACTACTAATAAAAGTACCTGATAACAAATATGTTACAAAGAAAAAGAAAATATACAAAACAGGTGTAGGCAGCATAAGACAGCAGAACCATCCTATCCTGTGCTCTCACTCTGATACATAATAATATTTTGAAATGATGAGAAAAAAAATCAATCATAAATAGAAATAATATGAAAGTAACTTTAAATGGTATTAAACAATTATAAGCATAACCTATTAGTAAATTATATACATGAATATCAAATACAATTCCAAAATCAGCTATGATAAATCTTAATGTTTCTAATAAAAAATAAACTATTATCAGCATATTCGCGATGATGTGATCCAATGGTGGACCACATATAATGTACAGTGAGTAGTCAATCATAAAACCGAAGATTCTCAAAAAGTTTCTGCAGTGATCGTTTTGGTTAAAAAAAACATTTAAATTTGATAAATAAATGATGTTATTAAATCTAAAAAATATCGACAATCCTATGCTGATGTCAAAATATAGCCCTAACGATAGATCAATTTGAGATTTTTCAATATTTTGACTGTAGCATCAAAGCTTTCTATGAGCTTTTGTTTTTTTTATGGTTAACTGCTCATGAAAGTACCTGATTATGCTCCTAAAATTTTAAAAGTTTTCATAATTCTATTACACATTAACATTTTATAAATCATCATTCATACTCTTAAATTCTTTTTTTCAATAGACTTTTATTTAATATAAAGTTCTTTCTTTACATTTGAGTTCTCTATTTTCTGTAAAAATATTTCTTTACAATCTTATAGAATAAAATCTTTCTTTTCTTACCTAAAACTATATTTATCTTTAATATATTCCAACAAGAAAATACCCGATGCTACATTCCATTAGTAGATTAATTATAGTTAGCAAACAAATTAAATCAATTAACAATGTTGAATCTATATTATTTGATATGCATATATATGCGCGCAGAACATTAGTTTATTTTTCGTCTAATAATCATAAAAAAATTGTTATCATTAGTCGAACAAACACAACTTCAAAATAATAATCGATAAATTAGAATAATGAATACATCATCGATTAGTAGATCCCAAAGTCATAGCATTTTCATATTTACTAATTAACATTTTTTTATTCAATAATAGCATGATATTATTCGTTAAGAACTTCTAAATGTAATATATCATA